ACTTGCGATTTCTCGGCTATCACTCAGACTGGTCCGGCAAAATCTCAACACCTCTCGGCTATCTCTCAACCCGTGCACTTTTTCTCGGGCAAGAATCTGTACTCCCTCGGAAACAGTACAATTCAGATCAATCAGTCCAGTGTTACTCGACGAAAACTCAACAGAAATCAGAATAGCCGAACACTTACCAGATTCTCTCGGACGAATTGAAGTATTCTCGGATATCTCACGATCCGCTCAGAAATCCTCGGATAAACTCGTTGATTCCTCCAGAAAATCCCCAAATCAGAGCGAATGGTCGGATCAGATTGACAGAAACACGGACAGAACACTCGATTTCTCGGTGATAGTCGGAATCGCCGGCGAAACTTCGATCTCTCTCGGCTAACTCTCGGGATAATCAGAATCTCTCGGATAATCTCTCTCTCTCGCTCTTTTGCTCTCAGAAAGTGCGGCTCCCCTGAGAAAAGTCAGAGAAATCCACTTTTATACTCGCAAAACCTAGATAACCTGGTTATAACCGGCGTCTCTCGGTTGCAGTCAAGTTTATCCTAATTAGCTTTAAGTTCTCTCGGCTATCGCCTAAACCGCTCGACCATCCACAAGAGAAATTAGTTTTCATCCGACCAAACTCTCAGCCCACGGGCCAGCCCATTGTTACTCGGCTAAAACCAAACCGCCTCGTTTATTTTCCTTTTCCCTCGGACATAGTCCACTTTCTCTCGGACAGAAACATTTTTCTCTCGGATATGGTCCGTCCTGCTCAGCCAGCCTGGCCATCCATCGACTATAGTCTGAACCTCCCATCCATATGGATTTTTCCCTTGACTGAACTCACATTCCATCGGACAACCTCCTGTCCGGCTCGATCATTCCAGATTTTCTCGGATACGGATGCTACACTTCTCTTCTAAATCTTTCCTTGCTTTCTCCCTATAAAGATGTTTAATGACTGAAATTATCCGCGAACGAAGATGCATTTAACCAATTGAATGGCTTGTATGATCAGGTTGAAAGTATACTACCCATTCTTTTTTTTTATTGTCAAACATTTTTTTCTATAATTAAACTGAGTTTACTAAAAGAAGTTGAGAACTCCATGCCAAAGAGTTCGAGTCACAGCCGTTAGAAGCTAATATATAATAGAAGTATAAATAATGTAAACATAAAATAGGAGATTACAATCATAGATAGTAACCGAAAACACCTCCAACAGAGCTAGTTTTTCAGCCAACAAAGGCAAATAAAACTATAAATTTGTACTGCCATGGAGGCTGAGCGTTTGAAAATGTTCTTCATAAAGGAGAAATGTGAGGTTGGAGATATGTGCGTAAATTGGTAATACTCCAAAATCTAAGTCGACAACATCTGACGAATTCCTACTAACGACGAGCAGATTTGATAATATGCTCTTAATAATTTTGGGCTGAGAAAAATCCAAAAACTTATAATATTTACCAAATCCATTAAATTGCAATTTGGTTGGTCCATCTCAAAGTCCAAAACATGGATATAGGCCAAGCCCAACACAGAAAAAGAGCCAAATGTGATGGTTGGTTCTCCAATGATGCAATGGTAGTCGACCGAAGACTCGCCAAAGGAAGCACCTTCGTTAAAGAAAGGGAAACTCAAGTAGACAGAATAGATGGAGCTCATGTTAATATGAACTTCCGAGTAGCTCATCAAACCGGCGAGTCATAACAGATGAGAGACAGAATAGATGGAACTTCTTTGGAGATAAATTGGATCCTTGGCATTGTAAAATTATATTCATTCATCAATAATTTCAAACATTCAAAAAAATTATATTCAGTCATCAATAATTTGAAATATTACAATAGCTTTAATATTATTTGACAAACAGGTTTAATAAAAAAAAGTTGATGTGTGGCAACTAGAAGAAAAATTAGTGTAAATTAATGATGATCTGGAAATGTGACATTACAATTTTTCTAAAATAAACAAAATATTTTTATAGGTTAAGTTAAAACTAAATAAATCTCATTTTTAAATAATAATAAAAAGTTTATGTCATATGTGAATGCATTCTCATTATATAGCAAGAATTCAAAATTATAAATGAAACAAAAAAAATAAACAAATAGAAAAATAAATTATAAATATCCTCCCATCAAATTTGTTTTTATAATACTGTATATATGAATAAGAAGTAGAAGTAAAAGTAAAAATGAATCTTTATGATTTTGATTTTCTGTAAAAATCGCAGGCTATATTTTTGGTTTAAAGTATCTCCAGCCCACCTTTATTTTAAATCTTCTAATTTAGAAAAAAATAGATATGTTTGTTTTTCCTCCATGACTCGAGGAAAAAATAACAATATTTTTTTTTCCTGTAAAATAGAAATAGGTTGGAGAGAAATCCACCCATATTTTACAAGAAAAATAGGAAAATACATTGAAGATGATCTTAATGTTTAACATATTATTCAAAGTTAAGAAAAAAATATGAGTCAAAGAAGATAAAAAAATTAGAGAATTATAATTTTAATCGATTTTATGTTTTTATTTGAAAATATATTAAAATATTATCTTACACATATTAATTTTTTCATGCGTATATTTTTTCCAACATTTAAAAATATTATTTCATGAATCAAGTTTTGAATATATTGTGATCCATTATATTTTATATTAACAAATATAATAAAGTTAGAAACATAATAATTCTTAATTTTTAATATAACAATCAAATATTAAATATATTATTTTATATCTTAAATCATACACATAAAAATTTACATATGACTAGTTTAAATGGTGCGGTTACGGAGAGTTTGTGGAAGTGAGAAACTGCAGGTTATAAAAAAATTGACGAAAAGATGAACGAAGAGCTATCGGAGAATTTTATAAAATATGATTTCACAAATTTTATAATAAATGTTTATTATATTTTTTATTGAGAAGCCATATATTATAAACGCTGAAAAATAAAAAACTTTTGATTAAATACAAAACGATATAAATAATTTTCGTGATTATTATTAAATGCCAAGAACTGCATCGTGTAAAAATATTACGTTTGCGGAAAGTATCAGAAAACTAACCAACTAAATATTATAATTAACTGATTTCTAACTCATACCTACATGCATAAATATACGTATTATTTAAAAAAAATCAACCATACATTATGAAAATATATATTACAAAACATATACATTGTTATTTTCTTTTAACACGTAAAAGCCATACTTTGATTTTTTCACAAATATACGTATAGATATAAATATTAATTGTGCAAAAGTCAAAGTCGCATGCAAACTTTTCGGGCATATATTTTGTTAACCTCGATTACAATCTAATTTTAATTTTAGTTATTAAACAATTTATATTTTTTTAAAAAGTCTATATATATATATATTCTAAGAGCGATGAGGTGGATGGTACACACGAATGTGCAGACTAACCATCTACTTGCTCTTAGAATAAGTAAAGTTGATAAAACCTTTTTTTGGTTTAATTAGCAACAAGCCAATGAAAAAAATATATTTAATATATATATATATATATATATATATATATTTGGTTAGATTATATTGTGTAAGGAGAAAAAGAAAGCATAGTAAATATAATATTCAAAACATATCATAAGCATTTAATTATTATTTAATATAATTTATACATTTCTAATTATATGTTACTGTAAACGCTAGAAAAAATATAAAAAAATTTAAAAGACACAAGAGTTTGTGTGATTGTTGTTAAACAGTAAAACTATATATGTATACAAACATAACATTACATAATGTATAAGAAAATTAATAAATAATTAAATATTACAGCTAAATATGTCTATAAAAATTTATACCTGCACATGTGTGTGGATCAAAAATAAAAAATTAAATAAATTATTATATATTTTAATGTTTTTCTGTTTATTTAGTTATCATATTTATACTGTTTTATCGAAAGAAGTATTTTAAAATCTTGGTTAATATTTTTTTTATCTTTAATTTCTATTGAAATCTATAACATTTTATATTTTATTTGTTACTATTATTTATTATTAAGTATTTGTATAATTTTATTATTAATACGTAATTAATCATATATATATAAAGCATCTCAATATATTATTTTAATTATATATTGAACATATAAAATATTTTATAGCCTGCACATTGTGTGGGCCGATCACCTAGTACCATGTAATTTATAGGAAAGTAAATTTCTAAGATCTGAAAATAAACATTATGACAATTGTAAAGCTTTTTGGTTTAATTGGTAACTTTGTACTATTGGGGGAAATAAAAATATATTAATTTAATAATTATAAATCACAAAACAGTATAAAAACGTGACTAAAGCCGTTACGTTCAGCTTTTTTGTAACGTTTTCTTTTATCGCTAGTTTAAACCGTTTTTAACTCTTATATAACCGTTTACATTTCTTTCTAACTGCTAAAAAAATTGTACCTTTTTAGGTTACCATTGCTCATAAATATACAATTTCCAAAATTTATATTCATCTTGGTTATTTATATACACTAAATTATATATCAGGAACTCAAACATTTTGATTAATTGGACAAAACATTATAATATCATTTTTTTCTCAACAACATTCAATATATACATGTTTGAAATCGAATTGTACAAACCGCTGATTACATATCTGATTTGGTCCGATTATAATTTCACTAATTGACAAACATTAACACACATATATATAAGAAAATAGTACTGTAACACTGTTAGCTCTTTTACTACCTTGAGATAAATTTGGAGATGAACTATGTCCACAAAAACGCAGAAAAGGCCTAACCACTTGCCGAAAGGTGCTTGTGCAGATAGTTTTGAATCTTTCTCAGTAAATCCAACTTACCATAACGTTCGCTTATATTTTATTTCAATTTGTTAAAAGATATCTTTCCTTTTTTCTGATAGTTTTCTTTTATTTAATCAAAACAGCTTTCCAAAACCTAAAAGAAATCACTTAGGTCTTTTCTATATAAACACATTCTATATCACTGTACAAAGCATACGTTTTACTGTCTTAATTTCTCTCTCGATTCTTGTTTTGTCCAAAAACCACAATGTCAAAAGCAACGAGCGGTGAGGAAAGAATGTTTTGCGGTCACTGCGGCGTTAACACTCCTACCCGCCGTGAAGGAACCGCTGGTTCCGTCAAGTAATATGCTCTCACCAATTAATCAATTATTTTTTCAATTATTCTAATTTTAAGTTTAATATTTATCAAATTTTGTAATTTATTTATATATCGAAATAATTCACAGGTCTTGCAATTGGTGTGGGAAAGTGCTGGCGGATGAAACTGGGACCGCCGAAGAATATAATAAACTCTTCCTTCTACGTCAAACTTTACAAGACGCCGTCTCTGTTTCCGGCAAGAGAAGCCGACGTATAAAAAAGAATGTAAACTGATTTTATCGTTCAATTTTGGGTTAATTAGACAAATATATCTGAATTATATTTGGTGGTTATATGGATATGTTTAGGTTATTATATTCTGTCTTTTTGTTTACAGCCATAATTTGTCCTCTAATAAAAACATTCTTTTTTGCTTAACAAAGTACACTTATGTAAATATATAACAAATTATTTTTGAACTCAAGAGAAACAAATTATTTAACCTTTGTTTTACATGTAAAAATAAATCTTAGAATTTGTGAACATTTGAGCTATAATTTCCTTAGAATTATTATAACAGACAATCGTTTATATATGTGGTAAGTGAGAATTTTTAGTATTTAAAAAATAACATCTTCAAAATTGCTATTGACAATTGTGATTTTCCAACTTTAACAAAGCATATGCCAAGTAGGCCTACGAGAGGCTTAGTGTTTGGACCGATAAAAGACAAAATTCAACTATCAGAATTCGGCAAGCGTCTCCAAGTAGAGAGAGGGGATACAGGGAGATCTGGTGGCATTTTTGCGACGGATTGGGGAAATACGATGAAGGGGAACGAGATGGTCCTATTTTAGGAGAAGGAGGAAACAAATCATCCACTAGTCTGAATGGTAGGGGTGGTGTGCACGAAGATTTGCTTAGGGCAATGCAGATTGAGAAGAGTCTGTCGGAGAATGCGACGGGGTTGAGTGGAGTATGACAGAATGTTCCGGTAATTCTTTGGACACAGACCTGCCAAGATTTAATGAATTTACATATTAATTGCCAAGAGGCGAATAAACCTAACTTCCAACGATCAATTAGATATATGTTGAAGAAGCGGAAATATGAGATGCTTGCACTGTTCAAAACCCATGTGGGAGTTGATAGAGCATGTCGTATCTGTCAAGGTTTGGGATTTAAGAAGTCGTTTAGAGTTGATGCGGTGGGACAAAGCAGGAGGTTATAACTGCTGTGGAAACCGGAAATTCGAGATGTTACGATAGTGCAGGCCGCCTATCAGTATATATTTACCCGAGTAGGAGATAGAACAGAGGCTACCCACTTGATTGTAGTATATGCAGCTCATACCGTAAGCAGACGGAGTGGTTTATGGGAGCAATTGAAGCGGATCATTCAAGTTGTAGATGGGTTATTGTTAGTAGGAGGAGATTTCAATACCATCGCCAGGTTGGATGAGAGGACAGAGGGAAATGGTCGCTTGTCCCCGGATTCTTTGCCGTTTGGTGATTAGATGAATAACTTGTCTCTTATTGATATGAGATTCACGGGAAACAAGTTTACATGAAAGAGATAGAGAGTAGTGCATACTTATGTTGCAAAAAGATTGGATACAATGCTATGTAGTGCACACTCAAGACTGAAGTGGCAAGAAGCGGCTGTAACCTATCTGTCTTTCTTGTCATCTGACCATGCTTCTTTGTATATACAATTGGAACCGGAAGTATTGGTTATGAATAAAATGGAGAAGCTTAACTCTTATAAAAAAATGCTATATATGATTTGTAACTCTTAAATAAATAACTTTTAAGATTAATAATATTGACTTATTTATACACACTAGAGCTTATATTTCGAAACTAAAATTATATTTCACAAATGAATTTGAAAACTCGGACACAGCACAAGATTTATAATTAGAGAAAATTACACTTTAAGGCACTTCTACAAACTTGAATTACAAATTAAGGCACTTAAAAGGGAAGAGGCACTTTCATCATGCTAAATGACCATTTTATCCTTTTCATACAAGATCAAATGTCTAGAACCGCTAAACCACGTGGATGAAGCTTTGTGGATAACCATAACACTTCATCATGAATCTTCGTGGATAAATTTTCGTGGACAACTTCAAACGTTCACTGGACTGGTTTGAGATTGATGAAGCTCATGCTCACGTGGATGATCATTCATGGACAACTAAACATGTATTGTTTAAATTTGTCTATCTATTTTGCATGTTTTTCGTTGATGAACATTCGTGGATAGCTAAATATTATTTTGTAAATCTATTTTGCATATCTTTTGTGGATGAACTCTGTGAAACTTGTATAGTATAACAAATGGCTAAATATTCTGACCACGTGGATGAACATATGTGGACAACTTCATACGTTCATTGGACTGATTTGAGATCGATGAAGCTCATGCTCACGTAGATGACCTTTCATGGACAGCCAAACATGTATTGTTTGAATTTGTCTATCCATTTCACATGTCTTTCGTGGACGAACCTTCGTGGACAACTAAATATGATTTTGTATATCCATTTTGTATATCATTTGTGGATGAACTCTGTGAAACTTGTATATTATAACAAATAGCTAAGATATTCTGACCACGTAGATAAACATATGTAGACAACTATAAATAAAAAAAGGGCAAAATCAAATTAATGTATTATCAATAATGGACAAAGTGTCTCTTCTCCACAAAGTATCTTTTTTTGTAACCAAAACTCACAAAGTGCATTTTTATGTAAACATCTTTTATAATTACTTCAGTCAGATGAAACAAGTGGCATAAATGCATCTAAGAAAACGGTGCTGAATTTTTAAGTCACATAAAATACGTACACTTTACTAAACTTTCGTATATATTCGAGTATTTTTTTTTTCTTGCATTTTGACTTTCTTTTTTACACGAAACTTGATCGGACATGATTCAAACTCTAACTATAAGTTTGTAAACTGATATGATTAAAACACAAACTAGAAAAGATATATCGAAATACCCTTTTGAGAGGGATAGGGAGAGGAATCATCCCCGAGAAATGAGGGAGCCTACAACTCCGGCGATAAGTGCCGTTGGATCGCCGAGCACGGCGGAGATAACGAACTGCACGGCCATTCCGGCGATCTCGCAGCATTTCTGGACTTTCCCTTTGCTGCTCTTACGGTGGTGATGCTCAAGCGTGTTCTTCAAAGCCAAGCTCTTACGTTCTGTGCTTTTACCATTTTGTCCTTTGTATAGCTCTCGCCAATTCTCCATTAACATCTCCCTCACGCACGCTACGTGGAGATTGTACTTTTTGCAAGACGACCTGTATTTATTTGTTTTAAAATCATATTCGACTATTAAGTGGCCCAAAACCATGTTCTTAATCAAACAAAAATGATTATGTATAAGCACTAAGTATTACTGTATAAATCAGTGTTTCGACTTGGGAAGTATAATATTTGTAACAATTATACTGTAGTTTTGTAACAAATAATAAGTTCTAGCTTAGAGTGCACGTTATGTAAGTTGTATACCGATTAGGAAACATAAGTTCGTTTCTTTAAAAAAGAAGAAAGTTTTGTGTTTAAGTGCCATTGCTTTAAAGTAAATTGTGTTTGAATGCCATTGCTTTAATTTTTCTTTTGCTCCAACATATATATTCGGAATAAAGACGAAACTCTTGTTCAAGAATCAAAACATCAACGTAATCCAAAATTTTAACTCGAATTGCTTTATTAAAAATATTCTTTAGAGATGTTGATTTTGGAATATATGCTAATGTTGACTAAAAACACCAATGAAACAAACAAAAAAAAAAAACTTAAGCAATAAGCATGCTCATAATTTCCATTACCATGCTTTCAAATTTGTTTCGTTGAAAGCCCTTTGTCAACAAAAAAAAAAAGTTTTGTTTCGTTGAACTTAACTTAAAATTTTAAAGACTAAATCATAATGTAGCAGCGGTTGATATTAAAATAATATAAGAAAAAGAATAGAATCAAGAAGAGAAACCTGTAACTCCAGCTACGTCCTTTTCTTCCACATCGATGACAAGAAGAACTAACTTTGCGGTAAAGAAAGAGTTTGGTCTCTCCATCGTCCAAAACCATAGGAAGCATAGCACAACATGGATGAAGATCAAACCCACAAGCCTTGCAATGGTACACGAATCCGGAAACATCCTTCTCGCACGCGTTGCAGTACCGTCTCTCATTCCCCGGAGGTCGTGCCAAGAACTGAAACGTACATTTTTTGTAGAAAGGATGTGTTATGGAGGCCGAAGGTAATGCACAGTGCGCATGGAGATCGAAATCGCAGCCTTGATGATCATTAGAGCAGCGGTAGCGAGAGCCTATGCCTACTTCATTGCAGCCATCACACTTGAAGGGTTTCTCGGTGTAGTCGAACTTGAGGTTGTGCTGTGGGTGGCTGAAATGTGATATCTCTGTGTATTTCATTATTTTTCTTCTTTTCTTTGAGAGTTGGTTTTTTCTACAAGAGTTTGGCAAGAAGAATAATTTAGAGAGGGGGGGATTTTGGAGAAGCTTTAATCTGACTTGGAGCATCCAAAAAGAAAGAGAGTTATCAAGTGGAATCTTTAAGTTGCTGCAAATGTAAGAAAGGCCATGGAGGAGAATAAGAATGTAGAATATGAATGCATATAACTTTTTGCCCATAATTGATGAGATTATTGCAAAATATATAAATCTTTTGGTTTTTCTCTATTTACTGTTTAAAAATGACACCTTCAGATTTTTTATTCAAGTTAAAACTCATTTAAAAAAAAAAAAAGAATACGTATACTCTGGTAACATATATAGTTACATTACATGCATAGAGAATGTTTAAAACATACTCTAACCATGATAAGATAACATAAACTTAAAAGATATATAGTACGTCAAAATTTACATGTGAGTATTCCTACATAGAGATAGCCTACGAAATTATTTCTCCACGGTGGGAAGTATGGCGCTATCTACTTAGATTCTTTGTTTCTGAACTTGCTCAAACAGGTCATTTGCGTCGGAAGTATATGTCGCAAGCCTGTCGCAAAAGGACATTTGCAGCAACTTTGCGATGAAACAGAAAATGTCGCAAATCCTTAGCCGTAAATCTAAAAACGTCGCAAGTCCGTCGCAAATTTTGCGACGGAGAAAAGTTAACGCACATCTGTCGCAAATTTTGCGACGAAAAGTCTGTCGCAAGTACTGCAACAGAGAAGAAATCTCGCAAACTCATCGCAAAACATGTCGTCGCAAATTGGACGCAAAGATTGCGACTGAGTTACGTGGAAGTTGCTGCCGGTATTTCGTACCCATTGCGACATCATTTGCCAACATACAAACCACATTATCGAGACGAGCCGTCGCAAAGCTGTCGCAAAATTATTAGAAGAGAAGTCGCAAAGCCGTCGCAAAATTATTAGAAGAAAAGTCGCAAAGCCGTCACAAATTTATTAGAAGAAAAGTCGCAAAGCCGTCGGAAAATTATTAGCAGGAAGTCGCAAATCCGTCGCAAATTTATTAGTTGTGCTGTCGCAATGTAGTCACATTATTATTAGTATTATTAGTAAAAAATTTATATTATATTAAAAATCAAATTAAAAATATTGTAAATGCAAATAAAATTATAAATAAAACATAAAATATAATTAAAACTGAAATTAAAAATTTAAGTCATTACAAAAACTAAAGTAAATAAAAGATATAAAAGCAAATAAATTACAAATCCGACTCGGAAAAATTAGTTGAAGTACTTGCCATATTAGCTTTCAACTGAGCAAACTGTGGATCTTTTGCCGCCAGGTAGTCGAAGAGCATATCATAACTCTTCATCTTCTCAGATTGAGTCTCAAGCTTCTGATAGGGCTCAGGTTTTATCCAAATAAAACTACTGCAAGTGCACAGCAAAAGCAGTTGTAGTACAAGGGGTATCGAAATCTCAAGAGAGTAATGCAGACTACACTATCGAATGTAGATTCGGATTAAGCTAAGGAAGATATGATGTATGTAATGCGAATGAATGAATGAAAGTAAGCAAACGATTTTGTAAGATAATCTAAGTTCCAGAAGACTAAAAGCGCTAAGTCAGGACAGTTCGCAGGTTGAATCCAAGAATGTATGACGCAGAAAATCAGGAATGATTAAGAACCGTTTTAAACATGAATCACTGATGTATAACTAATCAATTCTCATTGCAAAAGTTATCTATGCCTAAATCACAGAGTCAAATCTCTTTGCAAACTCTAACAACCTAAGCATGCAGGAATGATCAGATTCAATTGTTTACAAAACTCCTAAGCCAAATCTCTTTGCACTAAGTTGCTTTGCTCATCAAATACTAGTTCAGGTTATGAATAATGCTTTCACATATATTTAACAACCTAAGATTTTAGGATTCCTAGATGATGTGTCTCAGAAATTCGATTTTAAAGCAAGCAGAGATGAAAAACCATAAGATATTCCTAACAGATAGCGATTCTACAATCTTTTCATCAACCTTTGAAAAACCCTAACTTAACTAGCAGATTACTCAGACATGATTATGAGATCACAAAACATAACTGAATAAAATTGCATTAAGAGAAAGAGTAAGAAATAAAGGGGGTCCGAAATCTTCTCAAAAGAGTACAGGATTTGTCTCCCCAAAAAGCTCTGAATAATCTCTCTCTAAGCTCTCTGAATTCTTAAAAACTAAGATAATAGCCAACAATAGCTGAAAAACCTAATAAATAGAGGCTAAACACGATCTGGGGTCTTCATGTAAATAAAGGAACTTCTGGGCCAATTCTGCAAATCTTCTTCATATTTTTAATAAAACAGCCACACTCCTTCCTTAATGGGTGACGAGCGTCACCATATGTGATACTTTCTGCTTCGAGCTTGGTACTTCGTGGCTTCCACCCAGAATGCTCCAGAAGGTTCCAAAATCTCCAATTATGCTCCATACATGCTATAACCTGCAAAGACTGTTCTAGGATTCTAAAAAAACCAAAAAGACTCAATAAAAAGGACTTATATCATGGTTAAAAACCATGATACATCAACTCCCCCAGACTTAGCTTTTCCTTGCCCTCAAGCAAACATCAGATAGAGTACAGGGTCGAAGTTTGAAAACAAGAAACAGTCAGTCAGTCATCAGGAACACCATACTAGTTAGAGCTTTCGAATCCACATACCACATAGTCAACACAAGATCAAATTTCTGTCTAATCATCACAAGCTTAGCAAATCTCTCAAGTCCAATTCAAATCCCTTCAAGAAATCCGAAATTTCTACGGCTAACTCCTTATTTTTATCTAAGTGTGATATCTCATCAAAGTTCTATCATCTTAATCACTTTACAGATTCTTTTCCCTTCCTAACAACTGAACAAATAGATCTCAACACAACTCTCCTATTTTCTCTTTCCTTGATCTTTTCCTTAGGATATTTTCGATTTTTCACTTCTTTTTTTTTCTCAACTTTGACAGTCTAAGATATGGTGCTACTCAATACTTGTGTTCCTTGTGAGGAGACAGGTTCTTGAATGTGTTCACTACTGTTGTTCCTTGTGAGGAGACAGGGTCATGAATGCACCATTCTTTGGACTTAATCTTTTAAAAACTACATCAGGGAAGATCAAAGAGAGACTGCATTTTAACCTTATTGTCAGTGTTGAAAGAGAGAATCAAGATCAATAAGAATCAATCACCAAGACAATAAGTTTAAAGTTCATTAAGGTGGAGCTAACAGCAAATTTTTCAGATTCTCTAAGAACCTAAACCTTCATTGCTAGACTGATCTACCTATGACTTTCAACTTAGTAAGACTTGTAATCAACTACTGTGGCAATAGTTCTTATCAGCAAAAACGTCCTATGGTTAGTTCCAAGAAAAACTAACAATTTCAAAAATTTTGACTTTAGAAAGGCAGGTTTTTGACTCAACTTTAAGACTCTATAGACATGACACAAAGCACAAAACGCCAGTAACCACCTCCCCCAGACTTAAACAACACTGTCCCCAGTGTTATTAAGCCAAGAGTTGGTCAGAAAAATGAATGAGAAGTCGAAAAACCAAGTCAGAAAAGTGTTACCTCGCGTGGGGTCAGGTGACGAGCGTCACCACGACCTGTATTGCCCAATTCTTATGTCAGATGTTAATTAACGAAGTGTTTGCATATGCACTCGAAAGTTAGACTTTTTGAGCATTCAAACACATAATTAACAACATCCAAACATAGCAAAAATAACCTGGTTCCACAATCTCACAAAACATCATCAAAGAAACTGACAACTGACTCAAAGAAAACATAAAAATGACTCAAGAGAAAGAAAAAATAAAAGGGAAAAAGGAACAAGTAACCAGATAGTGAAGCCTCAATCCTCATCCTCGCAAGGCTCAGTGGTGTAATAGGGGCGGACACAACCACAGTTGCTAAGTGTAGCAACAGCATCCCAGAGTCCCTCAAAGCTGTCAATGACATACTCCTGAAAAGCAGCCATATCCATGGGTGTCTGTGGAACCACTATGGCGTGTAGAAGGTCCAGCATTAGTAGCAGCTGCAGTAGAAGCAGAGGCGCCAGCTGTAGCAGCTCTAGCAGGGCGCAGAGTCAAGGGGCGCAGAATAGTCCGTGCTGGCATGAAGAATAGCTGGCGTGGATCTCCCTGAATAGTAGTGAAGGCTCTCTGTGGCAATTTAATGCCAACATACTCTCCAGAAGTGGTAGTGAAAATCCAGACAACTCCAATCTTCATCCAAGTGACATGGCGCAGATACTGGTCATCCATAAGTGATCTGTCACTGCGCAGACTGCAAGGTGTGACATCGATCTGGGAATGATGGAAGATCGGGGTCACCAGGCTGCCAACACTCTCAGTCTTCTCCCCTGGACTGGTGAATGGCTTGGTCTTCAAGGAGACCAGATGCTCAGCAAAAACAGTGCCTAAGTTGGCGCGAACCATACTATCAACAGGTATCGAATCATCCAGCATCTCATAAAGTCCGTAGTAGAGGAGAATCAGCTCACTGACTCGAGTCTTGCTGGGCGCAGACTTGCACAAAATGGTGTGACCAAAGAGGCGCAGAATGTACCTCAAAACCGGATGTCGAACCTCCGTCTGCGTGCTAGTCTTGCTGCCATAGACTCCATTCCCGAACATGGACCAGAATGTTCGCATATGGGTCCACTGAGAGGGAAGGAGAACGCCTGTGGGATGGTCAGAGAAGCCATAGATCCCACAAAGCTCCATCAGACTGATCCGGTATCGAACTCCTCGGATCAGAAACGTCATCGTGTCTTCCTGCGCACGCTTCGCCAGCTCATTCGCGTAGTAGACTCGAACTGTAGAGAGAAACTGGCGTACCAAATCTGGGTACAGATCATACTGCTGGAACGGTATAGTCCCCATCCCAATGCGCTCCAGAATCTGAACAACCTCCTCGAAGATCTCCATCTTCTGCAGAACAGCAGAATCCGCGAACCGAGTGGGGATAATCTTAACTCCTAGCCACGCATTGTAGAACAGCGTGTCATATTCATCCCACTCTTCCTGAATATCACGGAATACACAAGTGTCTCGGGACACTTCCTGCTTCGGAGTCCCTGCCCAAACCACTCTTGAG